ACTCAATTTGCACTATTTCTGGCAGTCTGCAACCCCCCTTAGTTGGCTATAAAGGGGATACTTTGATTTTATCTAAAATTGTTTCAAAGTTTGGACATGCTTGAAATGGTTGCAAACAATAATAATAATAATAATAATAATAATAATTTATTTATTTATACCCCACCTTTAGCTATCAAGGCGGCTTACAATCTAAAAGCACAATCCCATACAATACAAATAATAATAATAATAATAATAATAATAATAATAATAATTTTTATTTATAACCCGCCCCTCTGCAGAGCAAAAAAAAAAACATTCACCCCCCCCTTAAAAATATATTACATTCATAACAACATTAAAATTTAACTTAAAACAAAATTACAAATGCAATACGAATTAAATAGGGCACTCTGATTATAAAGGAGTGATCTAATGGTCGGGGAGAGATTATGGGAAATATAATTCTGGGATCCTACATGTGTACACTCAGAAGACCCATTAAATAAAAAGGGCTTTACATCCCAATCTGGGATGACAAATTTAGGTCCAAATCATACTGCAGAAATAATCCAGTTTGAGACCGCTTTAACTGCCCTGGCTCAATGCTAGGGAATTCAGGAAACTGTGGTTTTGTGAGACATTTAGCCTTCTCTGCCAGAGTACTCTGGTGCTACAACAAACTACAGTTCCCAGGATTCCCTAGCATTGAGCCAGGGCAGTTAAAGTGGTATCAAACTGCATTAAATCTGCAGTGTGGCATCAGCCTGGTGTCATTTCCGACTTACAATGACCCTATCATTGGATTTTCTGGGGCTGAGTGTATGTGATTGTCTCAGGGTCACCCATGGGGCTCCATGGCCACCATGCAGGGAATTGAATTCTGAGTCTCCAGAGTCCAATGATGCTCCAACCACTATACCTCATTAATGAGGTGTAAGGTCATGACTTTTCCTCAGGCAAGTGATGCAATCCTCACTTCCAGAAGAGAAAGAATCCCCCCAATCTATTTTGCTTACCAGTTAAGCCTTAACCCAGGGGTAGGCAACCTTTTTGAGCCGAGGGCCGGATTGCTGTCCCTCAGACAATTGGGAGGCCGAAGCACCCTAAGTAAATAAATAAATAAATAAATAAATAGTTTTTAAAAAAAATTTAAAAATTAAAAAAATATGCATGCACACTCTCTCAGCCCCAGAAAAGCCATGGCAAAACCCCTGTGGAGATTTTGCCAAGAAAACCCCAAGAACAAGTAATAACAACAATAATCAATATCATCATGGCGGGCGGCGGCAGGACCAGCCTGGGGCCAGTCCACGGGGGGGGGGATGCATCCGGCCCCCGGGTCTTAGGTTGCCTACCCCTGCCTTATCCCATCCAACCTAATTAAAAGATCTGAAGAACTGAAATGCTTGCTCATTCTTTCCTCAGAGCTTCAGCTGGCACTCTCTGGTGATTTTGCTCCCTTTTTCTCCCACCCCACTAGCTGTACTTTTGCCCAATGATAAGCAAAAACAAAAAAATGAGAGAAGCCAGCATGGCGTAGTGGTTTGCGCTTTGGACTATGCTTTGGAGACCAATTTCAAATCCCAACAGGGCCATGGAAACTCACTGGCCGGTGACATTGGGTAAGTCACACTCTCTCAGCCCCAAGGCAAGGCAATGGCAAACCTCCTCTGAAGAAATCTTGCCAAAAAAACCCATGATGGGGTTGCTTTAGGGTTGCCATTGAAGGCACAGAACCAAAATGAAAAGCCCAGTTTACCTTTGTGTGTGTGTGTGTGTGTGTGTGTGTGTGTGTGTGTATATATATATATATACACACACACACACACACATACGATAACCAGTGTGGTGTAGTGGTTTGAGCATTAGACTAGGTCTCTGGGGGACCAGGGTTCAAATCCCAGCTCAGCCATGGAAACCCACTGGATGGGTAACTTGTGCAAGTCACATTCTCTCAGCCTAAGAAAATGGCACTGGCAAACCCCCTCTGAAGAAATCATGATAGTGTGGTCTCAGGATCGCCATAAGCCTGAAACGACTTGAAGGCACACAACACACAAACATATGCATGGACAATGGGCCTTTAAAGACTGCCAGAAATAATGCAACTTGAGACCACTTTAAGTGTCTTGGCTCAGTGCTAGGGAATCATGGGAATTGTAGTTTTTTCTGGAACATTGAGCCTTCTCTGTCAGAGAGCTCTGGTGCCACAATAAACTATAGTTCCCATGATTCCTTAGCACTGAGCCAGGACAGTTAAAATGGCCTTAAGCTGCATTATTTCTGGCAGTCTGTAAAGGACTATAGACAGATAGATAGGAAAGGCCTAAGCGCCTTCCAAGCCCAACTCAGTGCTGAGGGCAGGGGGCGGGGCAAAGTCTAACCACGCCCCTCCCCAGCGTTCGCTCGCGCCTTTTCACTGCGGCTGATAAGCAACGCATGGGTTTGGTGTTCCTCTAGGCCCGCGAACGCGCCCTCTTGGGCTGGCCTGATACGTGCGCGGCACAGGCCTCGTACGTGCGCGCTCGCGACGTACGCGTCAGCTTCTTCTCTTCCTCCGGCGCCATTTTGAGTGCTCGACTTTCTCTTCGAACAAAACCTTTTCATTGTCTATGCGTACTGCTTAACGCCTTTTAAAAATATAAAATAAATAAAACGTGCAATCTGTATTTGAATAAGGATACGCCAATCGACCTCTTTCATATTGGGAATTCAGCAATGCTTTATATTCTCTCAAGGGAGGGGGGGAGAGAGAGAGAGAGAGAGAGAGAGAGAGTCAAGGAATCCCTTCCGGGGTTTTGCCCTAACGGAAACCGAACGTTGAAAAGCAATAATGTATACATTTCTTTCCGAGCCGCAGTCGTAAAAGGTGGCTTTTAAATCTCTCCCCGCCCCCAGTTTAGTAAACGAAAACTGAACAGAATTAGGACTGAGTTCGCTGAAGACGAGGAGCGCGGGGAGCAGCGCCGAGGGTTACTTCCGGGTCATCGGCGGCCATTTTGTGGCGCTTAAGTGCAGGAGGAAGGGCGGTACCTCGCTCATTTGCTGGCGGCTGCGCTGGGAGATGGTGGCTCCTGTGTGAGATCCTGACCGCGTGTTGCAATCCTCCTCCTCCTTCTCGGGGCCTAACCGCGAGCGCCGCCCGGCCGTTGTTGCTCTCCACCCTCGCCGCCTCCGTTCCGTATCTCACGCCGCCTCCTCCTCCTCCTCCTCCGCCGCTGCGGCCATGAGTTACGGGCGGCCGCCTCCGGACGTGGAGGGGATGACCTCTCTGAAGGTGGACAACCTGACCTACCGCACCTCCCCGGACACCCTCCGCCGGGTCTTCGAGAAGTACGGCCGCGTGGGCGACGTCTACATCCCCCGGGACCGCTACACCAAGGAGAGCCGCGGCTTCGCCTTCGTCCGCTTCCACGACAAGCGCGACGCCGAGGACGCCATGGACGCCATGGACGGGGCCGTGCTGGACGGGCGGGAGCTCCGGGTCCAGATGGCCCGCTACGGGCGCCCGCCCGACTCCCACCACAGCCGCCGAGGGCCCCCGCCGCGCCGCTACGGCAGCGGAGGATACGGGCGCCGGAGCCGGAGGTGAGGGAAGAGAAGGGAAGGGAGAGGAGGGGAGAGCGCTGCACCCCCTCCGCACGGCAGGAAGGAGACGCGGCTGGACGCTGCTTTAACTCAGTGCGGTGGGATTTGGGGAATTGT